ACATGACCTGTTGGGGGTCCATGAGGACTGGAGTTGAGAAACACTGATTTAAATTAAGGTGAAGGTCTAACATCAGTAATGACAACATGTGAAGATAAATCACAGCGGAAAAGATTGTCCTTGAATTATTGTGATAACATTTGGACTGTTCACTCCTTTTGATTAACTGAATCAATGCACGGGGACAACTTCCTTCCTATTTACAGAAACAGATCCTGGAATGTTCTTTCCTTGAAAGCCCTCAGTCTTTGCGAATCAGTAGCAACAGCGTCTTATGGGAGAGGAACTTGCAGCCCTCTGAAAATCAACTTAGCTTCTTGTAAATCACATCCCTGTAGAGCTGCTCTCCTCCCCAGCCTGCAGATGCTACCAGCCCTCCTGATTACTGATCCTGAGCGGAGATTGCTCTGCCTATCACCACCCCAACTCCACCCTCTACTGCTCCCATATATGGATGTCTGAATGACTTGGGCATTAGGTTTCAGGAAGGAGCAACAGTACATGCTCCTCAACGCGTTACCACCCCCTCAACGTCACTTCCGGTTCCACTTCAGCATGGCTCTGGAAGCTCCTGGTGACCATTGACCGCTTTGGTACCGCTGGTCGGTGCACAGTTTGGGGACTGCATCCCCCACAGCAGGAAGTAAGCAGTGTCTTATGAGACTGACAAGATTTTTCTCAACATGCTGTTGTAAGTGTGTTTTTACCTTTTGTGTCAGAATAAAATATTTTGCTTATCGCACTTAGAAGTGCCTCCTTTCTCTCCTGTCTTCTATTAGAGTTTTGGCCTTTCTCTCATGGAGTGCTGCTGCAAGCACATAACCGATACCTACATTTTATTTTCACATGAATGCCTAGTTATTGGTATACTACCCATTGGATATGGATGATCTTGTACACCAGAGCACCCTAAACATTTTCTCCACTACCAGTCCTCCTAGCTGCTCTGAAGATCTCCCAGGATAAGGATAAAGGATTAAGCACGGCGCTGTCCTTTGTAAGCTTGCTACATGTGGCAGTCTCTCCCCTTGTGAATCCCTGGGTGTGCTTATGTACTCACTCTGTCCTCCTTACTCCCAGGCCTTGATCCTGTTCATGCTGTACTGCTGAATGGATCCTCCTGAGCCAGCCCAAGTCCAGCCTAGAGGTCAGCCCCTCTAGACCTAAGGGACTCCTTCCAGGCCACTGGCAGTCTCCTTGGCACTCCATCCTCCACACGACTCCCCCACCCCGGCCTGACTATCCCATATTTATGAGCTGGTCCACCACTCTTCCAAGGCCTCCAAACCTGGGATTGATTAGACTCCCATAAACATGCATATTAGGTCTCTACCTCTTCCACCCACTGGCTTCTGGAAGATTCTATGGTCCTCCAAAACCAGGTGGCGATAGAGTCCCAACCTGTTAAGGCATCCAGCTTGACCTGCAGTAACCCAAGCTTAATCACAGACTCGCACAGTTACCATGAGTCATACACAATACATTTGTCTACACTATTCTAGCTACATAGTTAGTCTGGCTGAAAAAAGACAAAAGTCCATCCAGTTATTATTATTATTATACAGTATTTATATAGCGCCAATAGTTTGCTCAGCGCTGTACATTATAATGGGAGACAGTACACGAGACAGTACAGTAACAATACAATACACGAGGGGTTCGAGGGCCCTGCTCCTTGGAGCTTACAATCTAGGAGGGAGGGGAGAGTTCAACCATTTAAAAAAAAAAAGATAAAAAAGTTATAATCCTATACCCACAGTTGATCCAGAGGAAGGCAAAAAAAAACCAGCAAAGTATGATCCAATTTGCTCCCGAAGGGAAACAAATTCCTTCCTGATCCCTCGAGAGGCAATGGATATTCCCTGGATCAACTTTACCTATAAACGTTAGTATCCAGTTATATTCTGTGTATCTAAGAAAGAATCCAGGCCTTTTTTAAAGCAATCCACTGAGTTGGCCAGAACCAACTCCTGAGGGAGTCTATTCCACATTTTCAAAGCTCTCACTGTGAAGAAATCTTTCCATGTTTGGAGACTAGAGGGTACTATACCCATTTATAAATATTAAATGTGATTAGATAGACTTCAAATAATAAATCACAATTTTTTTGGATGTGGAATGGCTTAGCTGACATACATTCAACTGGTGGAGTGCAAATTTCATAGCAAACTATCTTTGCTAGTTAATACAGTACAAATGTAAATTCCAGGAACACACATCACACATCACACATCACACATCACACATCACACATCATGAATTAATGGATCAGACCCTTCTGTGTTTATGTGCAGTTTTCTTTATTATTTAGCATGTTTTTAATAGGGATGTATGGTCCATACTCAGCACCAGGGATTAGGTTTGGTTTGCTGTAACCATGGGTTCGAGGTAAATCCTGTGGGTTCAAGTTTCTTGGTCCCAGGACATTTATTTGCAGATTCTCCCAGGATAATTTTTTTTAAAAGCATAATGCACTGCATGGGATTTAAACTATTGCCAGCAGGGCTTGGAAGGACCAATAGATAACAGACTCCTTATTATAAAAGGAGGGGGGAGCAGTCTCAGTGTCTGTGTATTGGAAGTTGCTGCAGTTAAAGGATAGGGAAAGCTGACAAACTGATTAGTGAGAAATTATGGTAATTAGGAGACTATTTTAATTCTGATTGCTAGTTCTTAACTCTTTGGACATCAACCAATTTGATGTATTTTTTCCTATTATTTTGGGGGGTGGATTTTTATCCTTAATTTAATTTTGTGGTTTATTTGAAGCTAACATTCATTTTTAGCTGCTGTGCTGTCGATAGCAAACTCTTTTTTTTTTTTTTTGCTGCAAGACTTCCCTTTCATTTCTTTTGGGGGTTTCTTTATTGTTATTTTGTGTTGACATTGTCTTTTTGTTTCTGATTATCTATTCTTGAAATTGCCTTTTGTACATAGAACACGGCTGCTTCTTTTGAAATACATTTTTAAAAAAGTGCAAGAATAGCGTGCACCTAAGCCACCTCAAATTCTATCAATTACATCCAAAGCAACCCTTATCCTCATAGCAAATTCAAAAGTTAGGCTTTCACTAGTTAGGCCTATTATCACTCATTAAAACTGTTCTGCTTCTGGTCAAATTTTACACTGCTATATCCTCTGGGGATTCTTGATTCTCTATTAATTTGGACCTTGCTCATTAAAGTTATTTTACTGCTGGGCAGTTGTAGTGTCATCTGTGTCTTGTCAGTCTTAAAGTAAAGCAGCTGCCTGTACTCACAGTCTCGTACATTGTAGCCATTTCCCCTTCACTAAAAATGTCCTGCTGCTGGACAATTTTACACTGCTGTATCATCTGTGGTATCATAATTCTTGAAGTAAAGCATATGCCTATTTTCTTTGTCTCCAGTACATTTTGGCCAATTCTCTCTCATTAAACATTTCCTGCTGCTGGACAATTTTACACTGCTGTATCAACTGCGGTCTATTGATTCATAATGAGCATCAGAAAGAAACTGTCCAGTAGCAGGACAGTTTGCATCAGTGATAACAGAGACAGCTTCAAAGAACTATTGGCTAATTTCTATTTGGCAGTCAAAGCAGGCCTATTACCACTTGATGAAAAAGCATAACTGCAATGAGTAAAATTGAGGTGCTGCTGCTGTATATAAGCCTAGCAAAATGTAAAAGAGAAAAATCAATCCCATGTCAAATATGTGCCACCAGTCTACAGAATTGCTGATATTCCCTATGAAAATTATTTTGTTCCATAACATTATGTACAGCTTTGAAGCATCCCCCAAGAATGTTATTTCAAGTATTTGTATTTGTTTAATGTTGACCTCAACATGTTGAGGCACAAGTCTGCTGTACAGTATTTCCAAATGCTATTTTGGACTGGTTCATGTCCCCAGTAGCATAGCCCTGCTTCCATGGACATTTCCTTTTACAGCAGTTAGCTTATGAGTCCTAGAAATGGCCAAACCTTACTAAAAAGATTTGCTCTCCATAGGCTTTAGTGCAATTCATATTTAAGTTCAGGCTTAATGAATTTCAAACTGGATCTGTCCAATAAGGCACAAGAATATATGTCAAAACAAACTGCACTGACATTTCACAAACTGCGGAAAGGGTACAAAATGTTGTTCCTGTTCACAAAATACGCTGACATTTGTGAAGATGGTGGTGGTGGTGGTGATGATGGTGATGGATATACTTGAACTCTGAAAAAGAGGAGCTGAAGCCATTTCATAAGTGACTCTGAATATACAATTGGACTACTAAGGGCTATCATCCATAGTTGAATTTATTTTCCACTATAGAAATGTGTTTATTATCCTTTGGAAAAGGGTGAGCAGCCTATCACTGTAGGTTTCAATACAAAATCTTTTGCTGCTGCCTGCTCTTCTCTCTGGTCATTGAAACTCCACCCTACACTTGCTGCTGTCTGACCTTCGTCCTGTGTTGAGGAAGGGCAGGCAGACTTTTTTAATTACATAGACCATGTCGCATTAGGTCTCAGGAAGGAGCAACAGTGCATGCCCCGAAATGCGTTACCATCCTTATGTACGTCACTTGAGGATGCGCCCCAGTGTGGTTCCAGAAGTTCCTGGCGGCCATTGACTGCTTGGCACCACTGGCTGGAGCATGGCTAAAGGACTGCATCTCCCACAGTAGGATTTAGCGGCATCATATGGGACTGATAAGCCTTTTTTCCACCATGCTTCTGTAAGTGTGTGTTTTGTCTTTGTGTCAGGATAAAGTACCTTGCACTCCTCTCTCTACTGTCTTCTTTTTTTTTCTTTTAATTTAAATATTTATTGATTTTTCACATTATTACAAAAATTCCATAAAACGAGACACAATACATAAAAATATCACTACATTTCTACTCTGTCCCTTCTATTTACCTCTTTTCTTCCCTTCCCTCCCCTCCCATCATTTCCCCCCTTCCCCCCCTCCCTCCCCTCTGAAAGATCTCCAATCCCTCTGGGCCCCGTAACTTCGAATAACTTCCTAATTTAGAGTTTTCTATATTTCTCTTTCAATCCCGATTTTTCCCATTTTTCCCATCGTAAATAGTATATTTTCATCCTATCTTCCTGAATATGATAAGATTTTTCCATTCTGCTAATCTGGTTTACCCTATTGATCCAATCCTCCTCCGTTGGCACCTCTATCCTCCGCCAAAACCTGGGGATCAACCCTTTTGCAGCACTCAAGTAGTACCATACACCTATGAATGGGGTATGTAGCGCTAGAGAACAGATAATAAACACGGGACTGTTTATGATATGAAGTACCAATACAGCAGTTCATATAATAGTTCATATATTCCAGCCTGAAAAAATGGAAATGATCCAATGATGTTCCAGATCACAAACGATGAAATAAGAGAAATTAGTGAGGTTGTGCGCTTACCACAAATACACACAATATGAGCATTGTATGTAATTAACAGCAACCGGGCATCATGGTCTGGTCAACAGCCTGGGCACCATCTGGTCATATATGGACATCCGGGTCACAGGTACAACGCTATCCAGGCCCCTTCTGGCTTTCAAATCCAAAACGCCACCTTGCATAAGCTCATTACAAACGAGCCGGGAGGCAAGAAAGCGCTAATAGTAAAGTACGTTTATTTAAGAACACAAGACAAAAACCAAGCAACCAGGACTCACATTGATATAATATAAATCCAGGCCCACATAAATCAGCTCCCTGATGGTCAGTGGTTCACTCAACATGCAACGCATACAGATCAAAGTCCAATAGATAGGACCCTGGTGGCCAGTGGTATCACAAATACAAAGCCATAGAGTATAGTGAGTATTATTAGAAATATACTCATCCAGGTCAGGTGAGGTAGTTCCCTGGTGGCTAGTGGATCCCTAGTAGCAAAGGCGTCAATAGGGTGGATCTCCTAACATGTTTCGAGCTAAAGCTCATTTTCAAAGGGGTGAATCCTGCCCCTAGACGCCGAATTAAAAATGCCGCGGTCGCGCATTACGCACCACGCGCCGCTCCGGAATACTGCGCATGCGCGAATGACGTCACACGCTAACTCGTAACGACTGCGCATGCGCGAGCGCATCATCAATATGGACACTGAGGCCCAATGTTGAAGTCTGCCCACACATAGGCAGGGTTAGGGCGGGTCTGGACGGCTGCTCTTGTCCTCCATCTGATATTCCCAGACGGCATAAAGAGTTCATCCTGGAACTTCTGGACTTTGCTATGCATAAAAACTTCTACTTTTTACCTACAGGTCACGGGTGTTGCGATGGGGGCTAGGTTTGCCCCCAGCCTGGCCAATTTGTTTATGGCCAGGTGGGAGGAAGATTTAGTGTATTCACGTGACTGGCCTCCCCTTATATTTTACCGGCGCTACATCGATGACCTGTTTCTTCTATGGCAGGGGGATGAGCTTTCTTTAAACAATTTTTTTACTACTTTAAACTATAATGACCTCAATATCAAGTTATCATATGAATATGATCTTAAAGAAATTAACTTTTTAGACCTTGTTTTAATTAATAGTGGTACTAAGGTTGTGACCAGGACGTATTTTAAAAGTACGGACAGGAATGGGTATATACCCACTGATAGCTGTCATCATCCGACCTGGCTAAACAATGTCCCTAGGGGACAATTCCTCAGGTTAAGGAGGAACTGTACCACCTTGCCAGATTATCACTACCAATCAGGGTTACTCAAAGCCATATTTGTGGAGAAAGGTTATAACTCTCACATTTTGGATCAAACTGCCAATGAGATTGGCTTATTGGATAGGGAGGATCTGCTCACTATGGAAAAAAGAGTAAGACCGGACAAATTTTGCCCCTTTGTCACGGATTTCTCCATTCAATTCAGAGAAGTCACCAGAATTATTAAGAAGAATTGGGCTGTCCTTAGGAATGACCCTATATTGGGTGATTCTTTACCGGAATTCCCTGAGATCACTTTTAGGAAGGCACCTCCACTCAGACTTTTGGTGGCCCCTAAAGTAGTCGATCAGCCAAGGAATATGACTTCACCATTTGGACTTAAAGGGTTCTTCCCTTGCAATAAATGTATTGCCTGTAGACATAATGGGGTACATAAAACTAAAGTTAAGGAGTTTGGTTCTAGCATCACCGGTAAAAGGTATACCATACATCAAACTATCACATGCAATACTACGCATACAGTATACCTTTTGCAATGTCCCTGTAATCTCCAGCATGTGGGTAGAACTACTAGACGTCTGAGGGATCGACTCAGGGAGCATTACAATAAAATAAAAAAGGGCTTTGAGCACCATTCATTATCAAAGCATTATAAAGATTGTCATCCTAAAGACCCTTCATCTCTGAAATTCACAGCTATTGATGTGATTGATCAGCATTGGAGGGGGGGGCATAAGAGGAGAGCAGTGTCCCGTCTTGAGACGAAGTGGATTGTAGAGCTCAAGTCCCTTCAACCCAGAGGCCTGAATGTAGACCTAGACATCAACTGTTTTATTGACAATAGTTGATTTCTGTTTGAGGAGGTTTATAGTTTTTACCGTTATAGCTCTTTTATGTTTTTAGACTTTTATCCTGTCCACAGTGCTATCTTTATTAGGGTTTTAATGTAATTTTAATTCAATTTTTTGACCTGGATGAGTATATTTCTAATAATACTCACTATACTCTATGGCTTTGTATTTGTGATACCACTGGCCACCAGGGTCCTATCTATTGGACTTTGATCTGTATGCGTTGCATGTTGAGTGAACCACTGACCATCAGAGAGCTGATTTATGTGGGCCTGGATTTATATTATATCAATGTGAGTCCTGGTTGCTTGGTTTTTGTCTTGTGTTCTTAAATAAACGTACTTTACTATTAGCGCTTTCTTGCCTCCCGGCTCGTTTGTAATGAGCTTATGCAAGGTGGCGTTTTGGATTTGAAAGCCAGAAGGGGCCTGGATAGCGTTGTACCTGTGACCCGGATGTCCATGTATGACCAGATGGTGCCCAGGCTGTTGACCAGACCATGATGCCCGGTTGCTGTTAATTACATACAATGCTCATATTGTGTGTATTTGTGGTAAGCGCACAACCTCACTAATTTCTCTTATTTCATCGTTTGTGATCTGGAACATCATTGGATCATTTCCATTTTTTCAGGCTGGAATATATGAACTATTATATGAACTGCTGTATTGGTACTTCATATCATAAACAGTCCCGTGTTTATTATCTGTTCTCTAGCGCTACATACCCCATTCATAGTTTATGTTCCAAGGTATTGAGGATTACCCTGTATGTTAGCTGCTTACCTGATCTGTTTGCGCTCACTTACCCACCTTTGATATCAGTACCATACACCTGATTCTTTATATTTATTTACTGTTGTCTCAACACTATGTAGGAGACACATGGTTGGGTCTAATCCTATGTCATTTCCAGTTATTATTTCTATTAATTTGACTATTGTCTTCCAGAAAACCTGGATTTTTGGACATTGCCACCATATGTGAAACACCGTGCCCTCTTCCCCACATCCTCTCCAACACATTTTTGAATTCTCCCCCCTCATCCTGTGCTCAGTGCTCGGTGTAATATGCCATCGTGTCAAACATTTATAGTTAATCTCAACTTCTCTCATACTAACACACTCGTGAATTAGTCTAAATATCTTATTCTGTTGATCTTCATCTATCACCACCCCCATATCTCTTTCCCAATTTGTTATAAAAATTAACTTTGTGTCTGTGTCTAGTTCTGTAAGTATTCTATACATTTTTGTAACACCATGTTTCCCATCTCTACGTGTTTCTAGTAGCCTTTCAAACATATTCCACTCCTTTTTTAATCTCAAGGATTTTGGGAGAGTTCCTATAAAACATTTCAATTGATGATATTTCCACTCATCTATTTTAGTAAACATATCTCCTCCCATCTCTCTTTTAATTCTTTAAATGTTCTCAATTCCCCCTCTTCCAATACGTCTCTCAATTGGATATCTTCCTTTTTAAACCATCTCCCTGATATCTCATCTTTTCCTGGGGGGGAAAAATTCCGTGTTTGCAAGAGGCAATAATATAGAGTTGAATTCCATTTCATGTGTTTATGTAGATTATCCCATATCCTTAAAACCATTAAAGTGTAAGTGCTTGTGCCCTCTTTAATTCTTCTATAATATGCTGGAACCCATATCATCTTACTCAAATTAATTCCACTCAGATCATTCTCTATTTTTACCCAACTTTTCCCTTGTGATTAAACGTCCAGTCATAGATTCTTGCTAAAATTACTGCTTTGTAATATCTCTTGACATCAGGTAGTCCCATCCCCCCTTTCTCTTTAGTCCTACTTAGTGTTTCATATATGATACTCTTGGCTTTTTATTCCTCCATATATATCTTGTTAAACATTTTTCTCATTATTTTAAAAAAACACCTCTGGGAGTTTGATCGGGATCATTTGAAATCTATACAATATTTTAGGGATAATTACCATTTTAATTAGGTTCATACGTCCTAACCATGATGGATTTCCTCCTTCTAATCTTTTTTAGTTCGTCCTTAATCTCATTTATCAGAGAAATATAGTTTAATCTATACAGTTGTTTATATGAGGTAGCAAGTTTTATTCCTAGGTATTTTATATCTTTTTCTCTCCAAATAAAGGGGAATTCTTTTTGTAGCTTTTCTTTTTCGCTCTTTGGTATATTAATGTTCAAAATCTCAGTTTTTGTTGGATTAATTTTTAGATTAGATAGTTCACCATATTCCTTCAGGGTCCTTACATTTTATTTTGGTAGAGTTATTCGGGGGGTTGCCTACATAAAACAGTAAGTATCCGCAAAGGCCAGCTACTTTGTGTTTTATAATTTTCTATCTGGATTTCCCTTTACCGCTCCACTATTCCTTATTATTGATAGCAGGGGTTCCAAAGGCGGTCATTACATACAGCAAAGGGGACAATGGGCATCCTTGCCTTGTTCCATTGGACATCCAATGGATTCCGACCTCTCCCCTTTACCGTGATGATTGCGGTGGGACTCCTTCCTTATATAGTTTACCTATCCATTCACGCATTCTCTCTCCAATCCCCAACACTTCCAAGTTGTCCATCATAAACGCCCCAGTCCACTCTATCAAACGCTCCCTTTTCGGCATTAATTGACAAAAGCACCCACGGGGGCGTTTTCCTTTTCTTACTTTTTCTGGATAAGCATCAGAGTTCTCAAACCCATTTTCTCTACCCTCTCTCCCCTGGACAAAGCCCACCTGGTCTCCTTGGATCCATTCGGGCATTAGATCTTTCAGCCTGTTTGCTAGGACCTTTGCGTACAACTTAGTATCAGTGTTTAATAATGAAATTGGTCTGTAACTAGAGCACTGAGCAGGGATCTTTTCCCTCCTTATGGATGAGAACTACATGTGGGCTGAAGGGATTCCCTCCTCCCCTCCATCCCCACTCCCAAGTCATTCATATATTTCTTTAACTTTGGTAAGAGTACTTCACTAAATTTTTTATAGTACTTAACAGTATAACCATCCGGGCCCTGGGCTTTTCCCTCCCCCTGTACTTCTTAATGCTGCTTCTATTTCTTCACTGGGAAATTTTCTGTGCATCCAAAGAGTTCAGTTGTGTTTCACTAAGCTTTGGCAATCCCGCGTTTTTTAAATATGTCCTCCTTTTTTCATTAATACCTTATCTAATTTCTTTTGATGTTCCTAGGTGGCTGATGTTATACAAACTTTCTATAATACTCCGTGGAATACTTTAATGATTTCTTTAGTTGAGTGGACCATCTCCCCCTTAGGGCTTTTTATCTTTTCTATATAATTCCTGTTCTTTCTTCTTATTCAAGGCTCTCATTAAGTATTTTTCATGGTCTATCACCCCATCTATATCTTTCACTTAATACTTTATTATATACTCTTCTCCTCTCCTCTTCTTACCAATCTCTCTAATTCGTCTTTTTTATCCCTTAACTTCTGTCTTGTTTCTATTGTTATTTTTTTCTTATGTATCTGCTCCAATTCCAGGGTTTCCTTTAAATGAGTCCACTAACCCTCTCTCTTCTTTCTTTTTTTTCTTCCTTGCTCCCATCAGCAATCAGGATTCCTCTTATATATACCTTGTGACTTTCCCATACTGTAGCTGTCGATAGTTCCTCTGTCTTCATTCTCCTGGAAATATACCTTAATCTCTTCACTGATCTTCTGCACAATATCCTCATCCAAGAGAAGAGCCTCATTTAATCTCCATCCTAAACCTCCCGTCCACCTTTTTCCCCATCCCATTTTTCATTACGACTGGGGCATGGTCCGAGAAAGTTCTTGTCTCTATTTCTATTTTAACCAGCATTTCAATAAGTTGATGATCTATTAGAATGTAATCCAGTCTCGAGTATATCTCATGTGCATTAGAGAAGAAGAAGATATAGTCTCTGTCCTTCATATGCATTATTCTCCAGGTGTCCACCAGCTGGTACTCGTGGATCACCTTCCTCAATGCTCTCAAGGACCCACCCCCCTCTCTCTGCACAAGGGAGGTTGCATCCATTTGTGGGTCCATACAAAGATTCAAATCTCCTGCTATTATCAAACGCCCTTTTTTAAAATCTATCAGTTTTTTTAGCAAACCCTTCAGGAAGATCTCGGGTTTCTTGTTGGGGCAATATATATTGGCTAGTGTGCATTCAATTCCCTGTAGTTTACCTTTCAAAAACAGGAATCTCCCTTCCGGGTCAGTCCTTCTATTCTATCCTATTCCTATTGCCACCCCCTTTGCTCTTTTAATTGGAGAGTCAGCGTAATACCATATAGGATAATATTTGGATTTCAGTTTCACATTAGATTCTATCTCAAAATGTGTCTCCTGCAAAAATATCCCACTGACATTGCCCCTGTGATGTAACTCTTTAAACAACTTAAATCTTTTCCCAGGGCAATTCAACCCATTCACATTATATGTTATAAACTGTATTTATTCCATCCTTCTTGATTTTATTTATCTCTCTTCTAATTCGTCTCCTCCTATTAGGCCCGAATGACTTGCAGAATATTAACCCCACTCCCCCTGTCCACCTATTAGGACCGGATATCTTGCAGAATATTAGCCCCACCCCCCCCCTCCCCCCCCTTCCCCCCCTCCAGTCCCCCCCCACCTACCACCCCTCACACCCTCTCTTTTTTTTCCCTACCCATTTTTAGGCGTATATAACTGCCTACAAATCATTTGTGGATCCATTTCCACCATAGATTAAAATTTAGGGCGTAAGCTCCATCCATGTACGGCTCACCTCTTCTCCGACCCTCCCAATTCCCTCTCTCTATAGTCTAGTCTCAGCGAGAGTCTTTACTCTTTACCTCCCACCCTTAACCGTAGCCTCCAAGCGGGTCTCGGCCTCCGGAGGAGGAAGACCAGAGGCAAGAGAGTGAAGAAAAAAAAAAAAAAAATACTCATTCTCTACTTCACTCTCCCTCTCTTCCCTCCCCAACCCCAGGGCTCCCTCCCCCCTCCCCCCCGACGTGCTGCCAGTCCTCTTTTCGTGCATTAGTTATATTTCCTTTGTCTTCTTTTTCTTCTTCCCCACCCAGCTATCTCCATTCTATGCAAGCCCAGTCTATCACAAAAATCTCTTAAGTCCTCCGGAAATCGCAAATACGCTGTGACCCCATTTTTCCAGCCAATTAGAAATACTGAGGTACCCCATCTATACTGCACATTCTGTTTTTCTCATTTGCTCCAACAGGGGTTTCAGGGATCTCCTTCTCCTTAGGGTCTCTACTGTTAAGTCCGCATAGATTTGGATAGTCAAGTCTCCAAACTTAATTAATGATCTTCCCCCTTAGTCTTCTTCCAAATCTCATCTTTGACCCCAAAAGTTTGGAACTGGACAATTATGTCCCTCGGTCTTTCCTTCTCTATATCCTGATTGAGCTTTCCTATCCTAAAACACTCCATCTAACTTGATCGCGTCTGTTTCAGGTCTATCTCTTATGGAGTTTAGGATTTTTTTAACTAGTTCGTATAATATTTCCCCTTTAGCAGTCTCTGGGATTCCTCGTATTCTAAGGTTACACCTTCTTTCTTTATTTTCTTGAACTTCCATCCTATAGATCATTTTTTTCTGGTTTTTTTCTAATTGGCTTATTTTTTTCCTTAGATTATCTATATTCTGGGCCTGGGTTTTAACTTTCTCCTCCGTTTCTTCCACTCTTGATAGCAGATGTCCTAAATCGTTTCGAATAGCTGTCATTTCATGTTTTATCGTTTTTTCCAAATTTTGAAACATTTCAGCCATCTCCTTCTTATTTGGTATCTGTAGTTCACCTTCAGATCCTTTCCTTCCCAGGTCATCCACTATTTGTTGGCTACTGCTGCTATTCAAGCCCAATGATAATCTAGGACTACTTCCTGTACTAGTGTCCATTTCCCCCTTTGTACCTTGGACCCTTTCTGGCGAAGTATTGCCATATGATGTATACTTCTTTATTGTTCCTGTTTGGGACCCTTTGGGCCCTGCTCCCTTGGGACCTTTATTCTTCATATCTTCTAAATATCTTGGTAGACTTGCAATTTTTCCTATATCCTTTACTCTCCTAAGACACCTGGGCCTCCTCTCTTCTTATCTTCTACCCCCTGGGAATCCTCCCCTTCTTCACCCCTTAGTAGCCCATGTCACTCAGGGGTTCACCACACAATAAGCTCCCAGCATTTTTCACTCACCCTTCCCTTCTCAGGACGGTGACTCCATACTTGTGTGGGGGTCTTCACTGCTGCTCAGTCCTGGGAGGGGGATTCCTCATGGTTTCCGATACTTTATTTCTTTCTTTCCTCCTCCTTTCTCTTTCCTTTCTTGATCCTTAGAAGTCGCCTCAGGGAAGGAGAATGGATCTTCTAATATTTATGGGTCTCCCTGACCCAGGATCAAACAGCCGGCCAGGGGGTATAGGCAGCTATACGCCAGCAGCACCCTGTCACATCAGGGCGCCAGCCAGCATCCACTTTCTCTCAAGGGTCCTCCGTAGCTGGGCCTTACTCCTGCGGCCTCTCTCCTCCTCTCTCCGCACGGGTTTCCATTCATGTGGTGCCAGGGGAGCCGATTTGTCACTGCCGCTCAACGAGGGAACCGGCCGGCGTTTCTACTTCCCAGTCGTCCTTTGCGGCGAGCAGCAGCGTGCTCACACCGCCCTGCTTCGTTTCCCCGGCAACCCGACAGCTGCACTGGGATCTCCACCGCAAGTTCACCTCCCTGGAGGTCCGTGTAAGCTCCGCTCTCCCCTCTCCACGCCCGCCTCTCCCTCCACCAGGACCCTCCACACTCAGGTAGGGCTTCACTCCATGAGGGTCTAGAGATGGTCAGATTTGAGGTTATCGGAGAACACTCACATCGTGCTCTCCGACGCCGCCATGTTTAGGCTCCGCCCCGGTTTTCTACTCAGCTTGTCCCTCTCTACTGTCTTCTACTAGAGCCTTGTCTTCTCTCTCATGGAGTGCTGCTGCAAGTGCATAACCAATACCTTTACTTCACTTCATATGGATACATAGTCATTCGTATACTACCCATTGGATGTGGATGGTCCCCCATGCCCTAAACATACTCTCCATAAAAAAAAAAAATAAATAGCAGCTATTCACCCTTGAGGAGGAGGGGGAGGAAATGGCACCCCTGAGGAGGAGGGGGAGGAAAGGGCACCTGAGCAGCACCCTAAAAGAAAGTAGCTACATGTACCCTTTAGGAGGAGGAGGAAAATAGTGCAATAGAAGCACTCTTCCAAAAAGTTGGCTGCTGTGAGCCCTTCAGGAGGAAGAAGATAAGGAGGAAACGGCATGATAGCAGCAATTTAAAAGAAATCAGCTGTTGTGCACCCTTGGAAGATGTTCCATATGTTGCCAACTTGTCTAATCCCAGTGAGCTCCCAGCGAGATCTGTAATGCAGATCATGTGTTTTCTCATGCGTGTGGTACCCAGGGGCAAACTGACCATTTGAGCACTCGGGCACTGCCAGAGGGCCCGGGGTCAGTAGGGGGCCCCATGAAATGCCCCTGGTACCTTTTTTATAGGTTTTTTGGGTGTGCTTTGAGTGTGGGCAAGGATACAGGGGCCCCATGATCCCTTATTGCCCAGGGGCCCCATAAGTTGTCAGTCCACCCCTGGTGGTACCCAAATGGTTGTTACTTTTAGCACGGATGATACGCTGCACTCAAAGGCTGCAGACAACAAAGGTTGGAAGCTGATATGTTCAAAAGGTCTACGTTTCAGATCCTTACCTAGTTGCTGCCTATTAAAATGCTCATGTGCTGTCCTGATGCTTGCCCATTTCTACAAAACACATAAGCTATATTTCCAAAAGTATTGGCACGCCTGCCTTTACATGCACATGAACTTTGATGGATATCTCAGTCTTAGTCCGTAGGGTTCAATATTGAGTTGGCCCAACCTTTGCAGCTATAATAGCTTCAACTCTTCTGGGAAGGATGTCCACAAGGTTTAGGAGTGTGTCTATGGGAATGTTTGACCATTCTTCTAGAAGTGCATTTATGAGGTTAGGCACTGATGTCGGTCGAGAAGGCCTGCTTGACGTCTCCGCTCTATCCCAAAGATATTCTGTTGGGTTGAAGTCAGGACTCTGTGTCGGCATGTCAAGTTCCTCCACCCCAAACTCACTTATCCATGTCTTTCTTGTTCAAACATTTTTTATTAATTTTGAAACATAGGGGGGAAAGGCATAGACAATTGGCATTAGATATTGTACAGGTCGTGAAATACAGAGAAAAATGTACACAGCAGACATGTCTTTAAACAAATAGGGAGAGAAATTGTCAAACAAAAAGCTTGTGACTCTAGGCATACAGAGATTATTTTAGGAAAAGGTAACGATGTGCTAAAGAGAGTTCGTTCATTGGGGTTAGAGACTCTCCAGAGATACTTAAGGGGTTGGGGAGAGGCCGAGGGGGGCCAAGGAAGAGTGGAGGGGGGGAGGGAGGTGGCGGGAATGACTCCAGGACCAGCGAGAAAGAATATACATAATATGTGAGACCGATTAGAAGTGGTACCAGCATTGTGTAGGAAGAAAAAAAAAATATATATATTTAATCTAATTTGGATCAAGGAAGAAGGAGGGATTCGTCAAAGTTTTGCGGAAGGAAATTTTCGATCCAGGGAGTCCAGACATTCAAGAACTTAGGAATTGTATCAAGAATTGTGGCTTAAATTTTTGCGTGTATCATAGTTTGTGTTACTCTGCTTTTAACAGCAGCAGTGCTTAAGGCGGGGGCTTTCCAAGATTTCGCTATGACCTGCTTGGCTGCTGTGGTAACTTGCATGATAAGTTTGAATTGTGACGACGTCACATTGGGAGGGCGTAGGTTGAGAAGAGCTGTTGTCGGGGTGGGTTGGAGTATGTTAGTACTAAGTCTGGATATCATAGTGAAGACATCCGTCCAAAAAGACTTGGCTACCGGGCAATCCCACCAGATGTGGTAGTATGTTCCTGGGTCTACACAGCCTCTAAAACAGTTGGGGGAGTAGCTAGGAGTATATTTTGCGATTCTCGCTGGAACCATGTACCAGCGGGTCAAAACTTTATAGTTGGTTTCCAAGGCCGCAACGTTCTGTGAAGATGATTTCGTATTGGCCCTCTTATCCATGTCTTTATGCACTTTGCTTTGTGCACTGGTGTGTAGTTATGTTGCAACAGGAGATGTCAGTGATGGTGATGTAAGGCTTGAATGCAGCTACTCAGCCATAGAAACCCATTCCATGAAGCTCTCTACGCACTGTTTTGTGCTAATCTGAAGGCCACACAAAGTTTGAAGATCTTTAGCTATTGATTCTGCAGACAGTTGGCAACTTCTGCACACTGTGCGCTTCAGCATGTGCTGATCCTGCTCTGTCATTATAAGTGACCTACCATTTCGTGGCCGAGTTGATGTTGTTCCCAGTTGCTTCCACTTTCTTATAATACCACTAACAGCTGACCGTGGAATATTTAGCAGCAAGGGAATTTCACGGATGGACTTATTGCACAGGTGGCAACCTATCACGGTACCGCGCTTGAATTCACTGAGCTCCTGAGAGTGTCCCATTCTTTCAAAAATGTTTGTAGAAGCAGTCTGCATGCCTAGGTGCTTGATTTTATACAGCTGTGGCCATGGAGGGAATTGGAACACCTGAACCAATGATTTGGAGGGGTGTCCAATTACTTTTGGCAATATAGTTTAGCGGAATCCTATAGTTTGAATATTTTGGGAATAAATGGGGATACAGGAATAGGAGGGGGTTTGGAAATTTGGTTTGGAAGCATTTTTGTGAACTTTTTTTTTTCTGAGGTTTTATTATTTATCATTTATTATGACACTGTCCAATTTGTATGAAGTTGAGAGGATTAGCTTTCTTTAATTTTTGGAGTAAGCTTTCATACAGATTTTTGATAACTGAATGTATGTTTTTTTTGGTTGGGATACACTTTAATTTTCATTACCTGCCTTCATAATTAACTGTTAACAAAAGTAAGGGGTGAAGTTTTGGATCAGAGCTCCCATTGGTTCATAGCAGATTCAGTGGGTTTGAAATTTCTGATTGCAGTGAATTAATGCAAAAATGTGCTAGATCAAATTCTTTGTAACCCTAATGTACCACTTTGCCTTTGCTGCTAACAAACAGCAAACTAATAGATTAGTGCTAGGATTGTAGGAACTGGCAGGTCTGCTAAAGTAAATGTGAACCCTTGCTGATTGTCATGTAGATAACAAAATGCTAGAGGGATGGGGGGAGGGAAGGTTTTTACCTTTTTTCATTTTGTGTTGAAACTTGATGCTGCAGTGTTCTGCAGCATTTTTACACCTTCTATCCACATGCTCTACAATGTTAACATGCTGCATGTGTTTTTTCACAGATTTCCTAACAGTTGCTGTCGGCAATAATTTTTTTTATTTTACAGGCCTTTTTTAAATAATGACCACAGTGGACAATGAATGGACAATGGACAGCAGTGTTTAGTTTCCTAAAATTTAAGTGATATTAAAGGCAGATTAAAAAAAAGCAACTAACAAATATGTCATACTTACTTGTTCTGTGCAGTGGTTTTGCACAGAGCAGCTCCGATCCTCCTCCTCCTGTCCCCAACTGGTGCTCCTGACCTCTCCCTCTTGCCAAGCGCCCCCATAGAAAGCTGTTTGCACCCTAGAAGGCTTTATCCCGAGCCGCTGCTCTGTGTGTCCATTCATACATGGAGCTCGGATTAGCCCCTCTCTCTCCTCATTGGCTTACTAATTGTGATTGACAGTAGCAGGAGCCAATGGCTTCTGCAGCTGTCTCAGCAGATGAGGAGGAAGAGTCCCTAGAGAGCAGCTGCTCTTGTGCACATTGCTGGATCAAGATGGGGCTCATGTAAGTATTAGGGGGGCGGATGCACACAGAAGGATTTTTACCTCCATGCATAGAATGCATGAAGGTAAAAAACCTTGAGCCTTTACAACCACTTTAACTGAAACAGGGCCGTTTTTTACTAATAGGCACAGTAGGCATGTCCCTATAAAAGACAGCTTTTCCCTCCTATATTTTTGTGCAGTAAGGACAGTCAACTCATATACATTTCTTTATACAGTATCACAATATTCTAAGCAAGGTCAGAAAAAGAAAAACAAGAAATGTACTGTGTAAAATTGTGTATTGTGTGCAAGAGGATCTTAGCAGTCACTTAGGTTGCAAAATGTTAGGCCCTGTTGATAAAACTCCAACCCTGATCTCACAGATGTAATTGTGTTTACTTACAGTATTCGGAGCAACCAGAGGGAGGAACAGTATTATACCACATAACATTACAAAGTCTTTTTGAAAAATAAATAATCAACTCAAAATTATATATAAAATTGCAATCCAAACAAAGATACATATTTCTGAAAGTGTCCTAAATAATACAACTGATGTATTATAAGATCTTATATACGCCATGCTCCCTGCCATCCTGATCTGTATACTGTGGACCTCCCTGAAAACCTTATACCTCCTCCCCTCCATGTGACAGTATTAATGCCTGGTAATAGGTAGCTCAGGGACCAACCTATGAGTTATGTGAAGCAGGGGAAATGCCCATTTGTGACCCATAATCACAGGGCTCACATGGGTTTGTTGCAGGAGATCTGAGCAGCATAGAATCATGGTGATGATGCTTTACAGTGTCTGCCGTAGAGCGGCAGTACTAATGTGGATTTGTACAGCATATGTTTGCACTTAAGAACAGCAGCACACATAAACATGAATATTGCATTGCATTAGCATTCACATGTAAAAAAAATCTTTCAAAAAGGCTGTATTTCTTTAAATATTCTCAATACTACCATATCTTTAATTGAAACAACCAAAGAGCGCCACGCAAAGAGCTGCTGGAACTAAAAGCTGGGCTTGCTATCTGACATCTGGATTCATTATTAGACTATAATTATATATAAAATGTAGATAATGTTGTGTCAATCGCATTTAACCTTCTCTGATCTCCCATGATTCTTTGCACTAAAGGCTCAAGGCCAGGTCCTTGCTGACTGCTTGATAACTGAATGAGTGATTATCCTTCTTGTTAATAGACAATGATATAGAAAATGCATCAGTATGTACGGAATATTAATGAGGAGCTGCAAAAGCAGCGATAACGGTACAAGATGCTAACATCTCTGACCGAGAACATGGACTGTCCTAGTCATTGAAAAGTGAAATACTTGGACTTTGATCACTTATGTTTTAAGGCTTTCTAATTAAAATAGCTGGATAAACTAATTACACAGATTCTAATGAATTGCTTTTCTGAAATTTGCATGTACTGTATGTTGCCAAATATGTGTGCATGTCTTTATTACCATAAATTACATATGCAAACGTTTTGCAGAAGGGCCATGTCAGCAAACATGTTTTTCTTTAATGCACACCAAATATATATAAAATCCACTTTAGGGGAAAGGTGAACCTGTAATCTTTTTGTAATTATTTTAGATTAGATATTTATGTAATAAACTTGATATAAATACTGTAATTTTTACAAGTGTGTTTTATATACACAGTGTTACATTGGAGCAGCCATATTTACTTACTTGTTAGGTGGGAGCAGAATAGCCTTCTCTGAAAAGAGGAGTTTTCAGGGGTGCCTAAAAAGTGGACAGAGTAGGAGATAGTCAGACAGACTGGGGTAGGGAGAGGCTAGGAAGAAGTCTTGAAGGAGATCATGAGAGGAGGTGACAAGGGAGCTAGAAAGCAGGAGGTATTGGGAGGAGCGGAAATGACAGTTTTGGTGATATTTGGACAAAGAGAACACTTTGGCTGGTATTTGGAGACTAGGTTTTTTGATGTAGCTGGATGCAGAGTTGTGGATAGCTTTGTAAATTGTTAGTATTTTGAATTGAAATTGTTGGGTTAGCAAAAGCCAACGGAGAGAATACATAGCTATTGAGGCTATGCATCCTGTTTAGTAGTGCTGCAGAGAGATTGTGCCTTACTGTCATTTTTCTCTCTGAATAAAAATGTTGCAGTTTTATCAGACAAGTTGAAAATAATACAATCTCTCAGATCAGCAGTCCTTTAGCAAGGATGCTATTTTCCATTCCCTGGTACAAAGATATACTATAGAAAGAATCAAACTATTTGTAAATAATTGGTCAGAAAGCCACATAAATACTTATAGGTGGATTCAGCAACAGATAAAGTAAAGCTATAGGCAAAACCATTTTTTTCTGTATTTTGGAAAGAGCAAGGGAGGGTTATATCCTAGATGGCCACTCTTTCTGATCTGAAACTCTGATGGCATCTATCTCTATGATACCAAAACCTCCCTCTGACAATACCACCTAGTCTAACCATAGATCCATCTCAGTCTTTAAACACTTGCCTACCAGGTACTTTAACCCCTTCCTGTCCAGGCCAATTTTAAGCTTTCAGCCCTGTCACATTTGAATGACAATTGCATGGTTATGCAACACTGTACCCAAACAAAATTTGTATCATTTTTTTTGAGACAGAGCTTTCTTTTGGTGGTATTTAATCACCGCTGGGTTTTTTATTTTTTGCTGAACAAACTAAAAAAGATTGAGAATTTTGGGAAAAAAAAGTTTTTTCTTAGTTTCTGTTATACAATTTTGTAAATAAGCAATTTTTCTCCTTCACTGATGTGCACTAATGAGGCTGCAGTGATGGGCACTGATAGGCTGCACTGATAGGCGGCACTGATGAGGAGGCACTGGTAGGTGGCACTGATGGGCATTGACAGGCATCACTTGTGGGCAATGACAGGCATCACTGATGGGCACTGAAAGGCAGCACTCATATATGGCACTGATTGGAACTGGTAGGCGGCACTGATGCGCACTGATAGGAACCACTGATTGGCGGCACTGATAGCTGACACTGACAGGTGGCACCAACTGGCACTGATAGTTGGCACTGAAAGGCACCTTTGATGGGCACTGATATGTGACATTGATGTGCACTGCTAGGCAGTGATATAAGGCATTGATGGGTACTGACAGGTGGCATTGAAGGGCATTGACAGGTAGCACTGATCTAGATACACTGATTATCAGGGCATTGATCATCAGTGCCCTGATGATCAGTGTAGATGTCCCCTCTGAGGAATGCCACTTATCGGCTCTCCTCTCCTCACATGCTGTCAGTGTGAGGAGAGGATGGCCGATAACCGGCATTTCCTTGTTTACATGTGATCAGCTGTGATTGGACACAACTGATCACATGACAGAGCTGACATCATCGGCTCTTTACTCTGATTGGTGATCCGCTGTGTCCCAGGGACACAACGCACCACCAATCGCTGCACCACGCACCCCTGGTGGCGTGCATGCGCAGTTAGAGTGGGAGGACGTCCTATGGCATCCTCCCAGAACGAGAGAATCGCCGCCCGTCCATCATTTCCTTATATGGCAGATGGGAGGCGGTTACTCTTGATATTAAAATTCTAGAGAAAATTATCTCTCATCGCCTGAATCCTACTATTGGTTCATTGACCCACAAGGACCAAGTGGGTTTCATCCCGACCAGCTAAGCAGGTGATAACATATGTCACCTAGTACTGCTAGCCCATGAAGCATGCACCTGCAAAATCCCATCCTACTTTCTATCA